TAGACTACCTGTAGAGTATCTGAAACATTTCTGAATACCTCAGGATACTAACAAAGTTTCTAAAAGTAACAAAAACTGTGAGAAGCCTAAGACACAATAAAATGGCTGAATTATTTGGAGATGATCAACCTGAACACTAAAAACTGACATGATTAACATCTTCAGATATTTGTAGCTGAGTTGCAGTGGTGCACAACTGTAACCCTAGCTATGTGAGAGGCTGAAGCAAGAGGACCTCAAATTCAAGCAAGTCCAGCCTAGAGAACTTAGCAAGATCCTGTCTCAAAAATAAAAAAATAAAATAAAAAAAGCAGCGTGGGATATATATGGCTCAATGGGAGAGTATCACTGGGTTAGACCTAGGATCACAATAAATAGATAGTTGTGCCAGGTATGGTGGCGCATGCCTGTAATCGCAGCGCTCAGGAGGCTGAGGCAGGAAGACTGTTGTGAGTCTGAGATCAGCATGGGCTACAAAGTGAGCTCAGGGCCAGCCTGAAATGCAAAAGGAGATCCTGTCTCAAAAAGATAAAAATGATTGATAGTTGTAGCATGCAAAAGAGCACAGCCAGAATCAAAATAGACTCAAATAGCAGAAAAACATGGAAGCAAATAACAGTCTAACAAAACTGTCCCAAAAGAGACATACAGTAACTCTCCTTAAGCAGGCAAATTATTTGTCTTTGGGAATACTTAAGCATAGGATGGATATTAAAGATGGGACTACCTATTAGGTAGGAGTTATAACAGAGTGATTCCAATAGACCCTTTACACTAAAATGGTATTGAAGACTAAGTCTTGCTTTTCTGGGCATAAGGTCGTATTAAACTTTCTATTTCAATGGTAAAAGCTTGTAACACATTCTTGGCTAAGCCAATCCATTTGTATAACCCCATCCCCACCTTCAAACACTTCTTGGCTTTACTCTCTTTACATTTCTAATAGACCTACTCTCTCCTTATTTCACTCACCATTTCAGGTTTTGTGAAACTTTACAACTTAAGAAGCTTTTACCATCTCAGCTAGAAATTTTCTCATTCACTTCTCTTCCCAACTGCTTTCCTTTAGAGACAGAACTACAAGTATAGCCCCTTTAAAACCACCAGGTATTTAAATGACTGAACTAAGTCCAATATGAATACTAAATCCATTTCCCTTAAATAATCTAACTGAAGTAACACTGTCCAAAAGAAACAAAATGTGGGCAGGTACAGTGGTACATGCTTGTAACCCCACCTACTTGGGTGGCTTAGGCAGGACGATCAGAATTTCAAGATCATCCTGAATAATTTACATGATTTTTAACTGCTAAGCTTTCAAAATCTGATGTATACTTTACTTATGACACATATTCAGCCAAATACTAAATTTTCAACAGTTAAAATGAAGTATTGTCTGACTAAAACAATAAAGCTGTACTGTGTAGGCTAAGAGATTTCACTTTCGTTTTATCTTCACTTTTCTTAAGGTTCAGGGGACTGAACCCACGAAAGTTCTTACCAATGACAGCATACATACTGTTGTCCTTTTCATAATGTATGTCAGAAAAAAATCCAGAAAAGTATTTCCTTCCCCACCTCATATTCCTACATTAGACTTTAATTTTAAAAAGTATAAGTAAATTGGCAAGGTTTCATTAGAGAGTTTTTGCTAAATTAGAGGCTTCTATCAATGAAGTACTGCATTCCTTCTAATCGGTTAGGCGACATGGAGTGAAAAATGTGATTTCCTGTCCTACTTTTGTCCCAAGTCTCCACTCTTTCTGCCTAAATTCTGCATTTCTGATGGGCTAGGAATTAAGGGTTCAGATTTTCACAGTAAAGAAAAAACAAAAAACTTCTACCCTACAGGCATGAGTTATAGCTACAATACCTGCAGAAGTATCAGACACCAGGAATAACCACATTTGGGGGGAATCCTCAATGCAGACAATGTTTTTCAATCTTTATAAACTAAGCTTATTCTCATATAAATAATGAGCCTGCCCTCATTTGAAGCAGTTCTGGGCTAGTTAACTGGCATATAAAGAAATGTAACATATTTTAATCATAATAAATTCTGCCTCTGGAAGATGTAATGCCACTATTGTTTGACCAGTGACAAACAACATTTAAAAGGCTAAAGTATACCAAAGGTATAATACACCACAACCCAAGAAACCAAACACAGGCTTCTCTCTCCATTTTGGTGTGAAATATTGTTGAGGAACTACATTAATAAACCAGGCTCCTGGATCCTATTTTATAGTGAAAAATACCATGGTACACTTCCAATTTAACTAAAAAGATGGCTTAAATATATGGGCAAGAGGGGAATCTATAAACATCCCTGCATCTCATTCTAAGTTGTAACATTCTTTTTTTAGACAATTATTTCTATGAAGATATCACCTATAAAATAGAGAACAAAACTGTTCTTAAATCACTCAGCTCTCTTCCTTGCTATAAGCAATATCCATAATCATATATTTGCACAACCCTTTTACCTATATCCTTACAAGTGTCCAATGAAGTAGTAATTACCTCTATCAATAGTGAAAAACATAAACATGTAAAGATGAAATGATTTATCAAATCCAGATCTGGATCTAAAATCAGGCAAAGGCACATATGGTGCTGCATTCCTACAATCCAAGCTACAAAGGAGGCTGAGGTAGAAGGATCAAATTTGAGCTCATCATTGGGTAACTTAAGAGACCCTGTCTCTCAATAAAAAAAAATAAGGACGGTGGTCCCACCTGTAACTGCAGCACCTGGGAGGCTGAGGCAGGAGGAAGCAACAAGGTTCAGGCCAGAGTATGGCGTGAGTTCAAGGCCAATCCAAACTACACTATATACCAAGATCTTGTTTCAAAAAAAAAAGAAACAACTGAAAATAAATGAATATATAGCTTAAGAGACACACACAGAAAGACAGAACTGAAGTCACAGCTCAGTTGCAGAATGCCCCTAGGTTCCATCCTCAGTTCTGGAAAAAAAAAACCATAGAACAAGCAAACAAAACATACAAATTCAGTCAAATTTTCACTTATGGCAATTTAGTCAATTTGGTGCTACCCTGGGTTAACACAGTGAGACCTTGTCTCAAAGAAAACCTCTTGGGTCAGGAGACATGGACTTAAGTATAAACATACATATTATATTTAGTGGATAAAAGTATCCAATTACAAAGACTTAAGGCAGCGAAACACTGTTAAAAAGAATTTTTTTTTAAAAAAAAAGTCAACAAAACTTTATAAAACTATCCTGATACATCAAGGTAAATGTCTGTGCAATACTGGATTTAAAAATTACCAGTGATTAATACATGCCTATAATCCCAGCTACCTGCAAGGCTGAGGCAGGAGGATCATAAATTTAAGCCAAGCCAGGACCATATACAGAGACCATATCTCAAAATAAAGAACAGAAAAGGGGTAGAGAAGTAGTTTAGTGGTATAGTGCTTGCCAAGCAGAGAGGAGGCATTAGGTTCAATCCTCAGTACTGCTCTCCTTCAAAAACAAAGCGAGAGCCAGCCAGATAGCTCAGTGGATTAAAGTGCCTGCTTAGGCAGATTCAGGGACAGGGGTTCGATCCCCAGAGTGCAGTGCTGGCCCTGTCCCTGGGGAGCACTGAGAAGGCAAATGAGACTAGGCATGGTTGTGTGTACCTTTAATCCCAGTGCTTGGGATGTTGAAAACATGAGGATCACTACGAGTCCTATCTGTGTAGACCATGTAGACCCTGTACTAAATACATAAAAATAAAAACAAGACAAAGCTATACTTGATAGGTATAGAAGATTTTTTTTTCCCCAAAAACAAAAGGGTGAACAGGCAGGATGCAAAAAGTATATTGGCCATTATCACTCTTTAGATATGCATTCACCCAAATTCCATAATGATAAACCAGGACAAGCCAACTGTTTAAAAAATCATGGGTGTTAACACGAAAACATGCTATACTAAAAAAGCAAAAGACAAGCATCACTTTGTTTCCAACAGAGCTTTATGAAGAGCCTCACAAATGCTAGATATGGGAGCCCAAGACTATAATTCCATAGTCAGGAGGCTGAGACAAGAAGACCTTGAATTCAAGGCCAGTCTGAACTACAATGACTATATTTTACCTCAGGGGGAGGTAAGAATTAATAGCATGTGATTTTCATCAATACAATGTTAGCTTAATAAAACCATCACCAAAATGAAAAATACTGTTTTAAAAATTAAAACACAAATTTGAGGTCAGAAGAAAAGTTCCAAGTGTTGCCAATTCTTCCTAGACAGTATAGTCAATTAAATTTTTATAGCAAATTAAGGGTTCACACCAACTAGGTAACTTTTATTCTGATGGGCAATAAGAGGAAAAGAATTTAGCTCTGTGAAAAGGAGAGATGCTGAATTCTAGTGCTGGCTGTAACCTGGGTATGTAAGTATATCCAATTCATGTAACACCTTGTACCCGATCTCTATCAATGCTACAGTAACAAATTAAACCACTTACAGAATACACTTCAAGTCTATCTATGCATTTAGGACTGTGAATAAGACAATCTAGGTCACATTACAGTATTGCCACAAATGTAAAGCTTAACAACATGAATAACTAGGATGGGATTTTAGCAGCTTTGCTTTGCTTATTGCCATTTTGCCTCCTACGTCTGTCTCCCATTATCTTTTAAAAACGCAATGTAAGATATTATTTAAGAAAAGGGCAGCGTTGTTATCTTACTCCCTTTGTTTACTGTAAAGCAAATTTTGTTGTGTTCTATACAGGTACTGGTAAAGTTCAGTTATTATTTTCAAGAAAAGTAACATCCACAGATAAAGCATGGTGAGTTCCAGATAGAAAAACATTACTTTGAATTCCCAGTGGAAAGTACCCATTCTCATCATAAAGAATGCCCAACACCAACTAAGATTTATCAATGAGCCCATTTAACCAAAGGGTCTGTAAAATGAAACATTTTAAAACATGCATTCTACACATAAATCATGAGACGCAACAAAAAATAAATTACCTGACTGTTATGACATAGTATTGAAATACAATAAACTGGATTTTAGTTTTCTTCACACTCTGCTCTAGGAAAAAAAAAGAATCCATTATTCTTCCTCTTTTATAAGATACATTTTTTGAAGTAAGATATATCCTTAAAAAACACACATGCTATGTATTTTAGTTACACACACACACACACACACACACACTCTTCCACCCTATGACCCAATCAGTATTCAGGTATTTGGGCAGAAAAAAAAGTGAAAGGGATCAGAAGTTATATAAAAACTTCCTTTAAAGGCTGAAAAAATATACCTTTTTGTGTATTCCTACTTAGAACAGTACTTTTCCTTATTACACCAGTTTCAGATTGTGACAGTTATTTTCAAAAAGTACTTGTTTGAAAAATTAAAGGCAGAAACCAAAGAATTAAAAATCAGCAAAATCATCAACTTCCAAGTTTGCAACATTCTGAGTAAGAGATTATCTCAAAATTGTGTTTCCTAAAAAGGTTCCGTACTTAATCTGTATTTTATTAGTTCAAAAAACTGATTTGAGTGGGAGTCAGGCCTCAAATGTTGCCAGCCCGCTCCTAAGTACTACAGGACTGTCACAAAGTATCTGATGGGGTGATTTAAGCAGTTAGTTTTTCTCTGTAACCAAGGAAAGCGGGAAAAAAATTAACATGTATTATTTCTTATTCTCTACAATCATCCAAAGCACCGCGGGCAATTTTTATTCAGGAAATGCAGGTTCCTTATTTCCAGCAAAAAATTACTGTGGGGGCTTGCAAATGGTGGATGACAATCTGACAGAAATGCTTCCCCTGGCTCCCAAACGAAAAAATGACCTAAATAACAAGTCGGCCAGGCCTCGGATTCCCGGACTAACCTGTGGAATAAGTATGGTGAAACTGTCTAGGGAAGGAACGTGGCTGTCTCCTCCATCTTGAAATTAATCAGCATAAGGGAAAAAGGGACTGAGTGTTCAGGAAGCAGAAGCCCAACCGGTTAATACTAGTTACTGAGCTATGGCGTACGTGGCAGGTACCGCCCGCAGAAGCCAGGACCCTTAGGCTGGGTTTTCGGGTTTTTTTTTTGGCGGAGGGAGGGGTTGGGTTGCTGGCGGACGGGACGGAAATTATTTGAAAATAATTTGGCCTAATTCCCACCTTCACCAAGGGGAAAGTAGCAAACTTGCCACGGCCTTGCCCTCTCTTTCGGGGTCCTTCCAGTGACGTCTGGGTCACACGCGCGCGGGGCAGAGCACATTTGCTGGGACCTCCTGGAGGTTGTCATCGCGGCC